TCGTAGAAAATCATTGCCCTCCATTGACATGGACTTAGTTCGATCCTTACAGTCCCAGTATAGCGACCCTCGTGTGACTTGTAAGCTTTGCTCGGCTGAGTTGATATTTGTTTGTGTGAGTTGCGATCACTGGAAATGGTTTACAATAGATTCCGGGTCACATTTTCCTTGCCCGGTCATTTGCATCTTGTGCGTGGACTGCGTATCCAAAAGCTTTTTGCTCAGTCCACTTATGTATATGTGTGAATAAAAGTTGGATTCATGGATGTATCTGATAGTGACTGCCCTCACAAGTCAATTTGCCGCTGTTATTATTGGTATTATTGGTTTCAGGTAGTTTGTATTCTTATCAGACTTTTTTTTGCGTTTCACGATGATGTTGACAAAAGATCTTGAATCACCGTTTCCTCTATGGTGATGACTCAAATCGCACATTCAGTGACGGGTTTCTCCTGTCAGTCGAATGTGATTCCTAATGTTATAAGCATACCAAAGTATTGACTATTGAATACTCCCATAATGACACCAAAAACATTCAGTAGCGAACAAAGTTCATTTTCTATAACTTTTGCCTCAGGCTATTACATTGAGATGAAGGGTTCGAATTTGTCAAATTTGTAATGGTCTGATGTGATGAATATGATTGGTTGATTGTGATGTTGTGGTAAGTGGTTTGGAAATGAAGGGGTAGAGTTTATTATTGTGTGTTTAGGAAATGTTCGCAGTCGATGGATTGAGTGAGCTGATCCATTTCCGATCTGTTCCCCTCGGTTACGCAAAAAATCACGATCGTTTCTGTCGGCCATATCAGGTTGAGTTTAGGGTAAGCAAAGTGACTGAACGAGATAATTCTGAAGAGAAGGGGACGGATTGAGTAGATGAATGGCTGCCGCCTGCAAGGTGTTCTCCCACTGCACTTATAATCGTTTTCCTTCAACCAGTACCCAACCAGACTGGTTTGGAATACCAAACAGTGATTTTTATCTCTTTCACAGCCATTCTGACTGGATGTGTGATACCTCTCCCCTTCCTTCTGCTCTATCCGTTGCAGATTGCCCTGCTCGTTTATGACTTATTGCTTGCTCGGCGCATACATCGTCCAATCCGAGGCGGGCGATCATGACCCAGTTCAGCATGAGGGGATCAAATACATTCAAGACCATCCGTTCGCTCCGCACATGCTTCAAACACCAGAAATGCTAGAACGGATTGTTCAACTGCATAAACTGCATCGGTGAGTCCTGCTCTGTGCCTGTCTCATTGACGTCATCTGTTAGGAAAATGAATCCGACATTGGGGTGAAGTTGGAACGGTGGACGCAGTCAGAGAGGTAGAAATGACGAGAGCGAATGGGCCAGAATTAAACACTGCATACTTGCCATTTTACTTGCTTTCGGTTCACCCGTCTCTCAGTGATCTAACTTTACAAGCAAATAACAAACTGTAATCTGGGACAAATCGCAATTCATGACAGACTATGATCGAATGTTCGTCTCAAGATACATGTGCATTCGTATGATTGCAACTCAATCGGAATTCGGGTGTACTGCTTACAACTAGTTGTTTTTGTTACCTTTAACCGGTGAAGCATCACAGCGCTGATCGAGATTAAATGAATCCTGCGGAGAACTATAACATCCGCGCGTGATCTCTCTTGTTCGATCTGCTTATAACTCATTCCTGCTTCCGGGAAGAAAGCGTCTGGTAAATTCGAATGATGCGGTCAACAGGTCGAGCTCATCACTCAACTTCAGGAACACAAAACTTGTTCACTTTATGATATATAATAGATTGTATTTGGTT